TGTTGCCATCTTTATTGCCATATTCACAATGTTTTGGCCATTGGACACTTCACCTTTCTTCAGGTGATATTTGTTCAAATCTAAAATTTAATGTGGGGGACTTAGCATAAGCCACTTTTAAGACACCAGCTATAGCCCCTAACAAAGAACAAAGCCCAAGCACTATGCATATTTTTGCGTTTGGTTTTTACAATGAAGATGTGCAATTCTGCAAATTGAGGGAGTTGTCAGCAAATAATTTGTACATATGTTCTTCAGAAAAAACATGCAAATATTTGGGGTTTCTGTGAATAACAAGTACATATGTTCTAAAGAAAAATCCGTGAATGTGTGAAGCCATGAATGCTAAAACACGAATAGGCGAGGGCTCACTGTATATATATATAGGAGGCACGGAGTAATGGATAGCGGCTTGGATTGAGGAATCGCAGAGCCGGGTTCGAATTCCAGTCGAATCCATTACATTCACTTACGTGCTAATACCCTTGGGAAAGGTATGAATCCTCTTCATCCAGCTATTGGTAAAATAGCAGGACAGACTGGGTTCTATAGCCTTGGATGGCAACTGGTCTAGGAGAAGGACAACTCTGAATTCAAAACCTGCGGAGGGTCGTTTGGGAACCTTGTGGCATTCGTGCACCAGGTTTCTGTATTCGTCCCTCAAAAAAAGTGTGGCTATCCTGCCATTGAGGCCTTCACCACTATAATCAAATCTCATGTGCCGATGTCGGGATGTCGGGTTTCCTGAAACTTATCGGCCCTGACCCTCATACGTCGAACTCTCGACGGGAGAGTCGATTATATATATATATATATATATATATATATATATATATATATATATATAAATGACAATTAGGAAAACATCGATTTTCACTTACCCTACTATGTATCAGAGTTATTTAAAAAATTTGATTTCAACAAAATTATATTTTAATTAATTTCAACTTGGTTTTTGTTTATTTTAAGTTTACATATCCCACAATGTTATGGGAGGAAGAATAGCCTACATTGGAAGATAGAAGATTTGAACCTGTAGACAGCGCGGCCATAGACATCAACAATGCAATCTTTGCTGAATGATGGCTAGACACATGCACAATGGAGAAGTTCATTTTGATTATTTCTTTACCAAATAATCTTCATTTTGGATTTGGCAGAAACAAAAAGCAAATCCCTAAGGGTGATTAACACTAATTCACTAATCCTCAGATAAACAAGAAATTGTTTATCAATTTTCAATTGAACCGGATTACCTCATTTTCAAAAAGGTCACCATAACCTGATCCCCTTCCGGCTACATTTAACTAAGGATTTGATTTATCTGCTTCCTCATAAAGGTCAACATGATACAAGAAGGGTTTCATGTAAAAGGGAAAAATCATCTAGTCTCCATGGCCTGTGCTGCAAAGGCTTCTGGGAGACTTTCACCTTTTAGTGTATTAAGCCAATAATATCTCTAGGGATCAAATCAACTTTACGCCCCGTTAAATGCTGACCAAAACTTTGGAAATATTTTTTCTTATACTTGTACAGACACTCTCTTAAGTCTGGACATTGGGAGATAAGTTTGTTTGTTTGTTTGTTTAGCGGCATATCAACTCCTATATGAGTCATTTAATGCCGAAATTTAATTTTCTTGGGAGCATTAGTAATTTTTTTACAAAAATCTATTGCCGGTAATTTATTTTACTATGAAAACGTATTGCTGGTATTGTTACTATAAAAATGTTCATAAATTCATAGTGTTTTAACCCCAGTATCTCTCTATATTTATGAGAGGAGGTATTATGTACATTATTTACATTATTCGGACTATTGTCCTCATCCTTGTTGTCATATTTATTACAATGTTTGTTTCTTCAGGTGGTTGGAATGTCGAACTGAACCCTTTATTTCACTCACTGGGGTAGACTGTTCTAGTTCCACGTGCCATGTTTAATGGATGTTAGTTATCAGTTATCTCCTGTTAATTTCCCTCTGAAAGTTCTCCACTGCCTTAACCGGGTATTGAACTCATACTCTTTGCGTCCTGTCACTGGATCTAACCAACGCCTTTATCCACTGTGCCATGTGTCTTTGTGGAACTAGAACAGTCTACCCCAGTGAGCGAAATAAAGGGTTAAGTTTGACATTCCAACCACCTGAAGAAGTCCGGAGCGTACAACGGCCGAAACATAATAAATATGGCAACAAAGATGAGGACAATAGTCCAAATAATGTAAATAATGTTTTAACATCAGTTTGGGGGTTAAGTCTTTTCTCACAGATGGGATCTTATTAGGTGCTACCATCCCAGGTCAGGGTGGATCTGGGAATACCAGCAATTAAGAGGTGGTTCCACACTTTTCAAAACCTCCCAATCAGAAGCCTTGCTGCCGAATGTAGTTTATTGACATGCCCTGGATGGGGAGATGAGAAGCTAAGATATTTAATTTCATTCGATTTATGATTCCTATTTATCCTCAGAGATCCCATGGCATTTCCCTCACATACATCTTTGTCTTTCTTTCATTCATTCATTCTCATCTGAGGAAGCCAAAGAGAGCAGATGCATCGCTAATAAATTTCTAACTTTGTCTTAATAAACAAACATATAAAATGTAACATTCATATTTTCAGTACAGGATTGACTGCACGTGCCTACAAGTTATTTGTTTGTAATTTAACCTTTACCACGATGCAGGCAAAAACTGTCACCATAGAATTCTCTCCCTTTGCTGCTCTAGGCACATTCTGTTGCCTTGAGACGGTTGCTATAAATAAACGCTTGTCAATAGTTATTTCCAGTATTTTGAGCTGGAAACTGACTACTACTGCTTTAGAACAAGGCTAAACTTCAATTTTTAAATGCTATTTTAAATTCTTCTTCGAGGTGTAACATTAATTTTTTTGTGAATTTTTTTATAAACAAAAACATACAAATCAACATCCAACAAAGCCTTTATTCAGGATGTTTTTTTTTTATTCGGACTGTGATGATGATTTTGAAGGCTTTACTCAAGCAGATATTGACAGTGAAGTGGTCAGAGATGGTAATCATGCTTATGACGTGGAGGAAAGCAATGATCATCCATGACCGGCTAATTTTAAGGAAGCTACTAGCAACCATCGATATACCTGATAGCCTTTCTGAAGGTGAATTATTTTGTCTATTTATAAACAATGAAATAATAACTTTATTCGTCGGGCTATTCAAGACTGAAATCTAAATATTTTGAACACAAACTTATGGCTTCAACTACAGATTAACCTTTACCATGCTGCAGGTGAAAATTATCGCCATAGAATACTTTTCCTTTGCTGCTCTAGGCACATTCTGTTGCCTTGAGACGATTGCTATAAATAAACTCTTGTCAACTGTTATTTCCAGTATTTTGAGCTGGAAACCGCCTACTACTGCTTTGGAACAAGGCTAAACTTCAATTTTCCAATGCCATTTAATTTTTCTTGATGCTACATGAGGTGTGACACTGATTAAACCCATGTTAATTTTTTTGTGATATTTTGTAAACAAAAATGGCCACTTCAATATCCAACAAAGTCTTTATTCAGGGGTTTTTCTTTGACTAGGACTCCAATGATGAATTTGAAGGCTATACTGGAGTGGATATTAACGATGAAGTGGCTGAAGATGATAACCATGCTAGTGATGGGGAGGAAAGCGACAATGACGACTAGCGACTACTATCATCCATGGCAGATTAATTTTAAGGAAGCTACTGACAACCATCGATATACCTGATGGTCTTTCTGAAGGTGAATTATTTTGTCTATTTATAAACGACAAAATAATTTTATTCGTCAATGAGACAAATAAATTGAAGTCAGGTGAAAGAAAGAGCAGACAAATGCTAGTGTCTTCTCAGATGTAAACACAAGGAAAGATGTCACTATTTTGACAAAATGAGCGATTTTGCTTCTTATTGCACCCCTAGAACTCCACAAGATGTAATAAAAGTTAAAGTACATTGAATTATTTATGTATTTTCAATGTATTTGTTTTTTATTTCATGTTCCAATATTTTTTTCGTTTTCAATGTCAAAACTAAATGCATTATATCAAAATATTACTCATTCATTCTTTTATTAGTGTACAAAAATTAAAATCTATACACACAATACAAAGAAAATTATAACAGTAGGTGTTCATGTTTTTGCACCCTCAAAAAAAATGCAGTGGCAGGGGAAACAACTCTAGAAAGAAATTAACATTAACAAAGTTAAAAAGAAAAACAAAAAAAATCATAGCCTCCAAGAATCTGGAATAGAACCTCAAAACATATCAGCCATTTGTTTTACCATCAAACTGTAGGCACATGAACATGGATCTCATTACTGAGACATATAAAAGGCATAACTAGAAAAACTGTTGTATTTTTTTTTGCCTGAGGAATAAAAAAAAAAAGAAGTGCTTGTACATCCTCATCAGAGGACAATTTCCTTTCTTGCCACCTGTTATCAAGGCTTATTATGTGTGTATGTGTGTGTGTGGCTGAGAGTCGGCAGGATGCTATTTATAGAGTCTTGTTGTGCAACAGTATTTGCTTTTAAAGACGCTCCCATGTCTATATACGACAGGCTATAAGTGATCACAGTAGACACAAGAAATATTTCTTTTTCAGAATGGGTGCGGATTGAGCACATCAATGATCTTATTATTGCTGCTTAAGCCCATCCTACCTAGGGACACACAAATTTGTCTTAGTTTTTAATTAAAATGGTAATTGGTTATCATAATCTTCATTCATGAATTGCAGAGAACAATCACTGGTTCAGATCAATCGTGAAAAAAAAGCTTTGAGCGAACAAAGGCTGAGGGTTTTGGCAAAGATATTCCCTCTTTAAACATTGCAGGTTGGTGCTACAGAACCACAAACAAAGAATTGTTTCAAATAAAAAGATTTCATCACTTGAGGACATCCAACAGCAGCAACAACTAAAATGGATAGTAAATGTAACATGATAAGAAAATGAAAATGTTAACATTCCACACCATTTTAAAGTGAAGAATGGGGGAGAGAGAAGTGAGAGGGGGGAGAAGTGAGCAAGGGGGGAGAGAGAGAAGGAGCAGGGAGGGGAGAAGGAGCAGGAGGGGGGGAGAGAGAAGGAGCAGGAGGGGGGAGAGAGAGAGCAGGAGGGGGAGAATGTCTGAGCAGGAGGGGGAGAGAGAGAAGTGAGCAGGAGGGGGGGAGAGAGTGAGCAGGAGGGGGAGAGAGGGGAGCAGGAGGGGGAGAGAGAGAAGGAGCAGGGGGGGAGAGAGAGAAGTGAGCAGGGGGGAGAGAGAGAAGGAGCAGGGGGGGAGAGAGAGAAGTGAGAGGGGGGGAGAGAGAGAAGTGAGCAGGGGGGAGAGAGAAGGAGCAGGGGGGAGAGAGAGAAGTGAGCAGGGGAGAGAGAGAAGAGCAGGGGAGAGAGAGAAGGAGAGAGGAGGAGCAGGGGAGAGAGGAAGGAGAGAGTAGTGAGCAGGGGGGAGAGAGAGAAGGAGAGTGTAGTGAGCAGGGGTGAGAGAGAGAAGGAGAGAGAAATGAGCCGGGGGGAGGAGAAAGAAAAAGAATGTTAAACATAAAAATGTCTTAAAATAATTGTCAGACTTTGTCCATTTCATAATGTGTGACGTCATTTGTTTACATTTGATACGCCATGAGCAGACATGAATGTACGTAAGAGATTCATGGATAATTGAAGTTTAAAAGCAGTAAATTCGACTTTGCTAACCGATCGATCGTCTGTGGCAAAAGCACCTCAGGCTATAATGACGGTTCCGTATAGGATACAGGTTCAAATCCTGTCGGAGGACGAATATTTTCTCGAACATTCAGGCCAGTAAATGTTGTTTAATACTGTTTATTATAAACAGAGCATTTACTTAAATATTTGTATCTATAAAAAGAATGTATAAACATAAAAATGTCTTAAAATGTGTGTGTGTGTGAATATGTGTGTGTGTGAATGTGTGAATATGTGTGTGTGTGTGTGTACTATCTCCAAACAAGTTTGAGTAAGAAGAACTGACAAGGTCAATCTGTTTAATTTTCAATTATGACTGCAAAGGTCAAAAGTACTTGAGCAAAAATAACAAAATATGAACTTCAGGCAGTTTATCCACAACACTTTTTCCGAAAAATGAAAAAGTTAAATAGACAGACCTTGTCTGTTCTTTTATATCAAACTTATTTAGGTGAATACTTGCTGCAGAAATAAAACTTATTCAGATTATTATACACACACACATCATACTCACTCACTCCCTAATGAGCCAAATGGTAACACACACCCATAGTAATATACACGCTTACACACATCATACTCACTCCCTAAGAACCAAATAACACACGCACTTAACAGAGACACATCCCCTTTCCAGGAACCAATAAAACTGTCAAAATGATCAAGGGAATTCAGAGCAGCATGAATCAATCCAGCTCGTAACAACTTAAAAAAGACTGTTTGACCAACACAAGGACTGATCAAAATTCATGATCAAAAATTTAAAAAAATAAAAAACAAAATGTAAACTACAGAAAAAGTTCATTTTCTCCATCAAGTCATTCATTTCTGTAGTTCACTGCTACTAACAAGCAGAATTCTTTTTCTCCTGATCATGGCCATGCTGGCTGAAACTAGTCAAGGAATCTAATTGAAATAATAAAAATAAAAGAATATTAATATACAACCCAGTGTGTCTAAAGATTTTAATTTTTTTATATTTTTCCATTGTTCAAAACATATATATCAAGATTAGTTATTCCAAAATTCACTTGAGAATGAAATAGAGCTGGTTTTTTAGCTTCTGTTTTTGAAAAATGAGGACTCTTATGGAATCATATTTTTTTAAAATTATTATAATTTAGACTCTACTTATGTATTGAGCACTGTTTTTTAAAAATAAAAATACTAAAGTACTTTGGATTATTAACCTAACGGTTCTTTCCTATTTTTCTATCGATTTGCACACACAATACCAATTTGCAATTGGTAGGGATAATATTTTTTCCCTTTCTCCGGATTGATTCCATTTCTTAAAAACTTTTGGTCTGAAGAGATGAATATAACAATATTCATTAAATAAATTATAATCAATATGGATTTTTAAGGTGTTTTCTTCAATATATATATACACATGCAAACATAATATACATTGTTTAAAGGCAGAGAACCAGAAAGTGAGAATTTAATCCTTAGTAACACACCTACACACCCACTCTGATTTTTGACGGGTAGTAATTATAAAATAATCTTGAAAGAAAAATTTGTTGTCAAGTTTTGGCATCATGCCTCTTCCCATTAGCAGTCAGTCACATGAACAGAAAATTCCTAAAGAGCATATTTTGGTCGGTTCAATTTGAGACTTTTCCTCAATGGGAACGGAATTTTCGAGTAAAGTTCAGTTGGTAAGAGATGGGAGGGAGGCAGAGAACTAAGCTTCCACTTGTCAAACCGTCGCCGCCACACACACACACACACACAACCACCACCACATACTTGCACACAGTAAATCAATGACATCCACTCAAGGGATTTAGGGTTGCTAACTGTCCCCAAAAATGTAAAACTGTCTAGTCTTTTCCGAATCAATGATTCCTTTTTTTTTTTTTGAGATTTCTTTTTTCTTTTTCTTTTTTAAACAAAATTGCTGTGACAATTCCATTTGATGTCTTTCAATGTTTTAATCCCAAAAATATGTAAAATTCATGATTTTTAATTAATTAATTCAAGATGTGTCAAAGACATGCACTACTGAAAAAAAGGTTACATGATGTCGTTTTATACTGTTTTTCTTAAAAAGACGATTCTGTTTCATTCTAACTGAACTGTTATTTTGCACAGAGAGTATAATATTAAAAATATCACCCCAAAATACCAACCATATAATTTAGCTTTATGAGCCCATGGACCTTACTCAGAAACTTATCCACAGGGTCCTCCGTCTTCTGGTGGAGCAACTCCAATGCTCTGTCTTCGATTTTCATTTTAGTGAGTTGGCCACCCTAACCTTGTATCTACAAACAAACGCTGAAGGATACGTCCCACATTAACTGATGAGGGATACGTGTTCGTCCCTCATTTTGAGAATCAAAGATTTTCTTTAAAAATTGCATGCAGTATTTTATATATATATAATATTAGTGGTCAATTTTTTTATTTTATATATATATATATATATATATATATATATATATATATATATATATATATATACATAAATTCCCAAGAGGACAGAATCCAGGTAGAACTCAATGTCCATGACAAAGTAAGAATATAATATATATATTAGTGTTTGATATATATATTAGTGTTTGAGCCATATATATATATATATATATATATATAGTCATCCACAGACTGTTTTGTTGTATCACAGCTCATCAGTGTGGATAGACATCTGATTGTCTCAAGCCGGGATATGTGTGCGTGACTGTGTGTAGAGAGTTTGGACATAAATATAAAAATTGCATGTGGCTCTCACTTCAAACTATCTTCAGACCATGTGACCCAAGCAGTGTTGATACTTATGTCCACATTGGCTAGGGTTGCAAATCATCTCACAAAATGAAGGATAATTCTGCATTTTGAGGCTGAAGGTCCAAAAATTATTCCTGCGTCAGTTAATGCGGGACATGTTTTTGTCTCACATTTTTGAGAATCAAGGATTCTTTTAAAAAATTATGCATAATTTGTTTGTTTTTTTATAAAAACAAATTCGTCTTTTTAATTTTTTTCAAATTTTTGTGCCAATTTCGTTTAGTAGGTATTCTTTCAAGATCAATTTTTACATCTAATAAAACATCAAGAAACATCAATGTGAAGACATATTAAAGACTAGCTTAAAAGCCGCCTTATCAGGCAGCATTTAAGTAAGCTCCTGCAGAGAGCTCTTGATTAGGCCTTTAGCTTGTTCAGGAGTTGGAGAGTCTAAGTCTTTGCATATTCTCAGCATTGGAAACTCTTCTGGCTGCCGTTTTATCTAAGTCCTAGTCTAATATAATATGAGCTTTAAAGCCACTCTATTGGGCAGCATTTAAGCTAGCTCCTGCGGAGGACTTTTGATTGGGCCTTTGGCTTGTTCAGGAGTTTGAGAGTCCCTAAGTCTTTGCATATTATCAGCACTGGAAGCTCTCCTGGCTGCCGTTTGATCTGGGTTTTCCTTTGCACAGGACTTTCTTTTCCTCATTGCAGCCTTGGCTCTTTTGATTACAGTCTGGTCATTTGTTGGCAGAGATTTCTTTTTGTGAGACATACTGCTGTTGCATGCGATAGGCAACAATAAGCCACAAAAGAACTCAAAATTGATCACTGCATTTAAGTATTGCATTAATATAATTCAACGATAATTCTTCTGCTGCCACTTTATTTAAAGACAGTTTGATGTGAGTAGGTCCTTACTTTCTGTATAAACAATTATTTTTATTTCATGGGCGACTTTTGCTGTATTTCGCAATTAATTTTGATTATTCCCAAATTTATTTCAAAGTTATAAAAATTGTTATCGTACAAAAAAATTTGTTGTAAAAAAATTACATTAAAAAAAAATATCACCAAAAACAATTGCAGTAATGAAAATTTGGGAATTCAAAATTTCTGTAACATGAGCTATTGACAGTTAAAGAGTTGTGTCCCTTTAATTGAAAGAGTATGACACTGACATTCGCCTTTATTATTTCGATGTATCCAAGATATGTGCACTAGTAAAAAAAATGTTATATAATGTTTGTCTGTATTTCTAATATGAAGTATTGTAATTATTTACACTGTTTACATTGTTCAGACTGTTGCCATATTCACGACACATAAGATAAAAGTGTTGGTTGAAGTAAACTAGTGACTAGACCCACAAAATTGGATTCAATACCTAGCTACAGCAAAGGTGAGCAATAACTTGGAGAGTTGAGTTAAAGGGAAATAACTGATACTCTGAGTTATCCTGAAGAGGCATGGCACATGGAACTAGAACAATCTACCCAGGTGGATAAAAGAGTTTGGTTCAAAATTCCAAATACCTGAAGAAGGTCGGCGTGTAAAATAACTGAAATGTTGGCAACAAAGACGAGGACAACAGTTCAAACAATGTAAATGTTGTTTTATATTGTTTTTCTTAAAATAAATTTCTCTCTCAATCTATCATCCTATACAAACTTATTTCACACTGACGTATAAAATTCTTGAATAATAATCTTTTTAAGTATTAATTTTCTATCACTCAAAAATACCAAACTGACTATGTACAGCTTTATGCTTCCCCATCACATGGAAAACCCAGCCCCACCTTCTCACTTTTTCATTTTCAAGAGTTGACAACATTATTTTGGTTTGGTTTGTTTTACAGCATATCAACCTCAATGGTTATTTAATGCTAACAAGATTTTTATTACTGGTAATATATTTTTCAAAAAGTATTTCTGGTAATATTTTCCCCCAAAAATGTATTGCTGGTATTAAAACCTATTTTTACACATTTTGATCCTAGTTTTTTTTTTGGGGGGTAACTATTTGCCCATAGCTGGGACCCTAACAGGTGCTACCACCCCGGGTACGGGTGGACCTGGGAACATCAACAATTTAGAGGTGGTTCCATGCTCCTCAAAACCTCTGATCTTAGGCCTTGCTGCTGGACGTAGTTTATCGTCTAACCCAGGACATGTTATTTTGGTTCGGCCTTGGGTTATCAAACAATAGACATAAAGGGAAATTAGTGAATGCAAATACTTTCTGTACTGATGCCCAAAGTCTTTAATTGAATAACTTAAATTTAACTTTGAATGTGTCTACTTCAAGGTCGTAAAATGATTAAAAGAGCCATAAATGTCTAACAAAGTCTACATGTCATGCTTAATGAAAAAAAAATGTCCCATTTAATCATCTTTCAGAGGTAAAGCAAAACAAACAATTAAGAAATGTCATTTTATTTCATCGCTTAAAATGACAAGGAAATGTTCATACTGCAGGAGTTTGATTCTCAAACTTCATTCCAAGAAGCCATTCAGCTTACAACTATATTATGTTGAAATACCAGTTCTCTTCTCAAACTCAGTTTATCCCAAGAAGACATTCGGCTTACAACTATATCATGTTGAAATGCCAGTTCTCTTCTCAAACTCAGTTTATCCCAAGAAGACATTCAGCAAGGCATTCAGCTTACAACCATATCATGTTGAAATGCTGGTTCTGGTTCTTGGAAGATCACCAAAATCAAGCTTGATCAGAGAGGTGGCTGCTTAGGAATACCAGGTGCTGTAAGTATTGATGACCAGGATGATGTAGAGAATAAGGTTTTGGCATTTCCAATTCCAGTTGGGTCTTTGGGTTTGTTATATTCACTTTTACGGACAACACCCCATCTTTCGCATGACCCAACATTTTTTTTTTCTTTCTTTAAAGGACATCATTTCACACCAAATTCCTCAAAATTCAAGGCAAAACAAAAACACAATCTTAAATTGTTGGTTTTCTATGAGATTGTTAGGATGATATGCCAAGTAATTCTTCTTCATGACATTAACAATAGGGGTTATATAGCTGAGCCTACCCTAATTATGAATACAATGTTGTCCAGGATTGCATATTACCAGAAACAAAAAATAATCAGAGTTGACCTGTTAAAGTTGAATGTTCAAAGCTAGACTGGTTTTACAAGGATAAATGATGCAAATTACCTGGGTATTTACTCAAGACTAAAAAAAAAAAAGCTGATTGATGCCTTTTCAAAACTCATTAGTGCTAAATGAATACAAATCATTGTAGCTTGTCTGCTTACTGGTTGCATTGCATATCGAAAAAAAAAAGTGTTGAGAAAAAGAAAGGAAGCAATTATCACCCATTGTCCTGAAGAGACATATAGAATGAGAAGGAACCTACTTAACAAGTTTGAGCAAATGGATGGAAGAACAAGTAGCACAAAGACAGGATTGTTAAGGAATAAATATTGTTGAGAGCAACAAAAAGCAGGAAGCTGTGGAGGACCATTGTCGGCGGCCACATTCGGAAGGTACATAACACACAGAAAGAGATAAAGAATTTCTTTGATAAGTTTGAGCAAATGGGTGGTAGAACAAGTTTCATAAAAATAAAAGGGGAAAAAAAAAAAGAGTGTAATAAATAAACAGGTATTGAGAACAACGAAAGACAGGAAGCTGTGGAGAGACATTATCACCCATTGTCCTGAAGGGACATACAGAATGAGAGGGAACCTACTTAACAAGTTTGAGCAAATGGATGGAGGAACAAGTAGCACAAAGACAAAGATAGTATTGTTGAGAGCAACAAAAAGCAGAAAGCTGTGGAGGACCATCGTCGGCGGCCACATCCTGAAGGTACGTAACACACAGAAAGAGATAATGAACTTCATTGACAAGTTTGAGCAAATGGGTGGCAGAACAAGTTTCATAAAAAAAAAAAAAAAGTTTGAGCAAATGGATGGAAGAAAAAAGTAGCACAAAAACAAGGGGCTGTTAAGCAAGTATTGCTGAGAGGAACAAAAGCCAAGAAGCTGTGGAGAACCATGGTCGACCACATCTTGAAGATACGTACAGAGTTTAAATAAATGGATGGAGGAACAAGTTTCACAAAGAATAAAGGAAAAACAAAAATATAATAAAGAAATAATTATCGACAACAACAAGACAGGAAGCTGTGGAGAGCCATTGATTTGAAGAGACATGCCACATAGAATGAGAGAGAACCCACTTAACAAGTTTGAGCAAATTGGTGCAGGAACAAATACCACAAAAAAAAAAAAAAAAAAGAAAGAGTATAATAAAGAAACCAATATTGAGAGCAACAAAAGACAGGAAGCTGTGGAGAGCCATAATCATCTGAAGAGAAATGCTACATAGAGGTATTCTAGGTAGGGCTTATTAAATTATATGCACCATGAGACAGAAAATCCTGACTGGAAATGAAAGTGAGAAGAAAATGAAAGGAAGTAAGTCAAATTATTTACTTAAACACGACACTTTGGCAAAATTTGATAATCTGTATCCTGTACAATGAAAACCAACAAGAAAGGTATTATTAATGGTCAGGAACTAATACAAGTATAACTGATAAAGGATGGATGTACAGCTTGTATAACAGTTATTGTCACGGAAATAGGAATTGGTGGGCTGAGATAAAATTCTGCCCTAATCTGTTGCATTTGCTTTCACACTAATAAACCTGGAAAAGGCATTAATCAGTCCCATCTCTCCCTTCCCAAATAGTAGCGAAAACAAAACTCTAGCCTTGGTGGCTAATCTAAAAGAAAGAGAACACTGAATTCCAAACCATGAAGAAGACAAGATTTGTTTGGGGTTTTTTTATGGTTTATCAACCCTTTGTTGGTTATTTAAAGCAGAAACATTTTGGAGTGTAGAATTTTTTTTTTTTCAGAAGTAAATATTATATTAACAATTCTTATTTTTTTTAGAATAACAATGATATTTCCAGATATTATTTAATCCATAGCTGGGGAGAGGAGACAGATTCATATCTTTCTCAAAGGTATTTACATGTAAGTGAATGTAAACAACTCAATTCACCAATTTTTTTTATTCTGAACTGCTATCCATTATGCAAATTGCACATCTAAAGACAGGCTTATAGTCACCTTACATGGTAACATTGGTTCCAAAATGATCACTGAAGTTAAGCAAAGTCAAGCCTGGTCAGTACCTAGATGGGTGACCGCTTGGAAATACCAGGTGCTGTAGTGGATAATAGCTTAGACTTGTTAATTGAAGATTGGAGTTCGAATGCTAGTTGGGTTTATTATATTCCCTCACATGTAAATACTATTGGGAAAGGTATAAATCCACCTCTTCCCCCCCCCAATATGGGTTAATTAGTAAGACTTGTATCACTAATCCAATATTATTTCCAAAAATAAAATAAAGTTGTGTACAAAACAGATTTCAGTGCTGAATAACCATAGAGGTGGATATGCTAAATAAAAAACAACCACACATCTGAAGACAACAGGAAACCACTCCACTATTTTCTCAAGTAGTCATGGCAATTCACAGATAATCTTTGGCGAACTATGATCACCTATGTCCTGATGAATAATTAAAAAAATAAAAATAAAAAATAACCGATAAAATATAGCTATAATATACACCATAGGATTTTATTAGGTTGATAGATTCCAAAACACACCCACTGGCTGGTGGTACGAGAAATTACATTATCAGTGGTTCGCAAATAGAAGACAGCCTAACAGAATTTTAACATTCTCTTTTCAATTTCAGAGATATCAAGAGCATTAACATGAGAGCTACCAATCTGAGACAGGAAAGGGAAAAGATTTATGGTATTAGACGACAATCAAAGCAATTTAGAGATAGCTATGTGACATAGATGAAGAATAGGAGGATGAGGAGTAAGAGGTTGAGACTGTGGAGTTGCCCATGCTGATGTGATGCACCCCAAGGTCAGATTCGCTATCATAGTTATGGATAATAAGGACTAAATCATGTCGAAAAATAAAAAAATTTTTTTTGATAATTTATATATGAGGCAGGTAATGAAAGGTTCTTAACCTAACCAAGAAAGTGTATAAAAAAAAAAAAAAACACAAAAAAAAACTAAACCATTTTTATAATGTACTAGCAGTAGAGCCCAGTGTTGCCCGGGGATATAACAGTAAGAGATAGATCAAGTATCGACCATCATAAAGACTGAAAAATAAAATTGACAAAGATTATTGTTTAAGGTTGACGGACACACATGTCTTAATTAGTTTTTTTTTTTTGCTGTTTTTTGTTTGTTTTTTTTTTTACGAATTGGTCAAACCAAAACTCAAACAAAAACATTGTTTTCAATCGTTATGAGTCTACCGATTGAATAGAATTTTATTATAAACAATTGTCTTGTAAATGGAATTTTTAAAGCATTCTGAATGTAAAAATAAAGAAAAAAGTGTGGAAGACAATAAGAAACACTACCTGCCAAAAAAAAAAGTGAAGTTTTGTTGAAATCGGTTGAAAAATGTAGGAAATCCGATCCAATATAGAAACGAACACAGACACACACTCACAAACAACCTGGGTTTTATAATAAGTACAACTCGATATGAGTTGTCCCCCTTTCATTCTCGACAGCGATGCCTCTTAATTGTGTTTTCAAATTGATTTTTGCAAAAACAATTGTGTTTTTCCCATTTTTGGTGCTGTCAGAACCACCGCAAGGTAATTTTACGTAGTTCTGTGAAGTTTTGTTGAAATCGGTTGAAAAATGTAGGAAATCCGATCCAATATATAAACAAGCAGACACACAACCTGGGTTTTATAATAAGTACGATATATGGTGGTGGAGGATATGAGTTTGTTGCTGAAAGGTTCTTAACCTTTAACCTAAGCAAGAAAAGAGTGTGTGTGTGTATATGTGTGTGTGTGTATATATATATATATATATATATGTATGTATGTATGTAAGCAAATATATGGATATACATCCAACAGTATGAAGAAAAATATACGGAAAAAACAAACAAAAATCCTAATATGCACTTATGCTGTCTTAATATTAACATTAAAACAGCATAATTGCATATTAGGATTTTTGTTTTTTCCATATATTTTTCTTCATATATATATATATATATATATATATATATATATAAAACCATTTTGATAATTTATATATGAGGCATATCCTGATGATGTGTCACCTTGACGTGGAAGTGGGTTGGGCTAAAAAATTTCCTTTCCAACTCAGTGGAATGGTGTTGTTATTTGAAATTAAACTTTTATAAAATTTGTAATACATATGAACTACAAAGTAAATTCAATATCAGATTATAAATTAAAAAAAAGTTTGAAACGATTTTATTTTTTTTTCCAAAAATATAGACATCTATAAATAAAAAAACATTTCATCGATTACCTCCATACTATTCCAGATGAGAGGCCGTCCATACTACTCCAGATGATAGACCATCTATACTACACCAGATGAGAGACTGTCCATACTACACCAGCTCCATAATCTATCTTCCTGGTGCATTGTGACACATTCAGAGAACATAATTCTGCAGATGCCACTCACAACTCAGCCCAGGATCACCAACCATCCATAATCTGTTACCATCCTGTTTGCAGTCAATGTTTTGGGTCATGCCTTAAAGTGCAGCAAATGAACCTCCATCTTCTTCACTGCAACTCAACATTAAGGGGTTTTACAAAAACACATTTATAGCAGTTCCATCATTTTCACGGAGACTTGCCATCTAATCCTGAGGATTATTCTGAAGTTGTTCTTATGAAATAGGTTAATTAGCTTGTCATCTCTCCGATTCATTTTCCAGGTCTCAAAAGCATGACAAGAACAGTTCCATAATACTGGAATATTAAATGTAAATAAGGGAAGTCTTCTATGTGAAGTGGATGTATCTAGTAGGCTAATGTTTACCTAGATGCCATAGACTATCAGTACTTGTCCCTAGCCTAATTCCATAATACTGGAATATTAAATTAGTAAATCAGGGACGTCTTCTATGTGAAGTCTCTGGAATCTGGTAGGCTAAAATGTTTACCCAGATGCCAATATTCTATCAGGACTTCAAGCCTAATTCCATATTACTAAAATATTACATTGGTTAAATCAGTGCTCATGCAACAAGAGTTCTCTGGAAATGCAAAAAATTAGATAAAGAAAATTGATGAAAATATTCCATCTCGGACTTCAAGCGTGAAAAAAGAATGTTAAAAGTTTGGGGGGGGGGGACAAGGAAAATTTCACAGCAGAAAAGACAAGTTTTTTAAAGAAATATTCTAACCTGACCAATATAAAGTGACCTTGTTACTGTAAATTGGAAAATACAGATGAATCCAAAAAAATTGAGATATTACATTGCATATTAATTTTGCTAATTCTTTTATATAATAAGTCTACCTGTGGGGTTGGCATCCCTACATGATAGTCTGTATAAGGGAAAGAAGTGGTAAAGCACAGAGGTGAGAGTGCAATACTAAATGTGACTATGATGAGGGTAGATGACAAGGAGGCACAGGGTTTACTCAGCAAAGGTCAAGAAGAGACACAGGATATTTCAAAGAGATTTAATGCATTAACAATTGAGAAAGACTGACATACGCACACAGAATTAGCCACTGACATACGCACACAGAATTAGCCACTGACATACGCACACAGAATTAGCCACTGACATACGCACACAGAATTAGCCACTGACATACGCACACAGAATTAGCCACTTTGAAAAAACTTTGAAGTATGGAAAGCTAAAATGTTTTTGTGGAAATAAATAGAAAACATTGCCTTCTGAGTTTTGCTTTATATAGGATTCCAAGTTTGAAGATTTCAGATAGCATTAGTCACAAATAATGTGGTAAAAATGAAATTGAAGATTAAAGTATATTTTCAAGTATGGAAAGAACTTGAAAATGTCCAAACCTCGAACAGTCTTGATGCTAAAAGCAGAAAGGTTCAAAGAAGAGATTGGGAAAAGATGTGGCTTGGAAAGAGTAGCGAACAACAACAACAATAAAAAATACTAAGGCTTCTCAAAGTGGGACAACCATTTTCTGCTTTAAATAGCAAAGCTTACAAAGGGAAGGAATCACTTTCTGAAAACCTGAGGAAAAAAGACAGCCAAAATTGTCCCAGTGGAGGGGGAGATAGTGATAAATGCGAAAGGTAGTAAAATGGCAGAAAAGAAAGGACAAAAAGTAGGTTGATATCAATTAGCAACAGAGACAAATAAGAGGAAAAAACAAACAATAAGATAGATATGGAGCAGCATAATGGTGGTGGTGGTGGTGGTGGAGGAGGGGGTAATAAGCCACCCCCACCTCAATAATGTAGAATATAGTGAAAGACAGCAGTGAAAAACAGGGGTCAGAAAAGAAAAGGAGAAACAAAGACAAAGAAGAGGAAGTTAGCCAAAAATGTTGTTAGTGGTTGGGAGAGAAGCCTAAGAGACAAGAAAAACACAAGGCCATAGGAAGAGGAGGAGGAGCCACAGGGACCAAGATTGGGTATGGAAAGAGATGGTTATAAAGTCAGAAAAGAGACAAGATGGAATTTGCTATTTTCAGACAGTTATCATTCCATTTTATTTTTGACAATTTTTTTTTTCTAAATTAAAGCTACACAAGTCTGTTGTGATGTGGTGTGGTGGTGGTGGGAGTAAAAAGAGGTTAAAAGTAGTTTTTAATACTCCAAGGCAATAATATGCCTATTAATGAAATGTGACAGGCTAAATAACAGATGTACATTTGCTGCAATAAGGGTGAGGGACGGGTCACAGAGAGAGCTGGGAAAATGGAGCAAGAGGAGCAGAGAGAGAGAAATATGAACGAAAAATAACAAAAAATGAGAAAAATACAGTCAAATTGCTGAAAGCTCCTGATGAGTGGACTGAACAATTATGAAAAAGGTCTGTGAAACTCTGGATTTGGGTGACAAATTTTATTTTATATATGTGTGTGTGCGTATATATATATATATATAAAAGAAATATACTCTTAAGGTATGCTATATTTATTGGATAAAGTGGTCAATATCAGAGATAGAGCGTGTGTAAATATAAAAGTGAACATTGAAGTCAACACTTAGAGGCATCCAACAAAACTCCTTGTAACGCCAAAGATGAACTGAAGGCAAGGATTATGGCAGCATTCACCAACTTAAACAAGGAGACTGTCCAGAAGAGTTGCAGTAGATTCTGAAGAAGTTTGGAAGCTGTGGT